TTCTCAAAGACGTGGACTTAAGCGAATCAAAGGCCAGACAATTGTATTACGAATGCATTGTTATAATGAGACGGATGTTCAATGAGTGCCGTTTAGTTCACGCGGACTTAAGTGAATTCAATCTACTGTACAACGAGTCGATGCTATATGTGATCGATGTCTCCCAGTCTGTGGAATCAGACCATCCGATGGCTTTGGACTTTCTCCGAAAGGACTGCACGAATGTTAACGAATTCTTTCGCAAAAAATCCGTCCCAACGATGACTACAAGAGAGTTGTTTGACTTCATTACTGATCCCAATATTAACAATGAAAATATTGACACATATCTGGAAAAGTGTCAACAAATAGCCGCCAATAGAACTGATACAGAATCAGAAGAACAGCACAAAGTGGACGAAGAAGTGTTTAAAAAGGTTTATATTCCGCAACGACTGCAAGAAGTGGCCAATTATGAGAAGGATGTCTCAAAAGAGGACAAGAAAGAGGTATTTTACAAAACGATAACAGGTTTGAGGGATGACCTGAAGGGACCGACTCTTATCCCTTCAATTCTTGATAATAAAAATGAAGAATCAGACGACAGTTCAGACGACGATAATAGCTCTCAATCGCAAGAATCAAATGAAAACAAAGGTTATGTTCATTCGTCGCGACCTAAAGATGAGACCACAGAAGAGAAAAAGGTTTAAATTATATTTTTAAAAGTATTATTGAGTTTATAATTCCATTTCCATTAATAGTTAAGAAAAAACGCTTTAAAAGAAGAGAAGAGAGAAAAACGTAAGAATAAATTACCAAAACATGTAAAGAAACGAAAGGAAAGATTGGGCAAAAAATCCACATAAAAATTAAATATTTTTATTAATAAAATTTTATTCAGAAAACTATTTTTGAAATACAAAATAATTATCGCTTAATATGTTTCTTGTTATGGCCTCGAGAGCTGTTCTGCATATCAAGCTTTTTGTCGCGGTTTTTATTTTTAACATTTGCCGTCTCGTAGTAATGAACGCCTATTTTCTTGGTTTTGGCGTCTCTTTCCAATCGTCGTCTTTCTCTTGAACTCAATTTCTTTACTTCACTACTCTTTTTGTCTTCAATTGGTTTGGATTTCAATCCCTTTTTAGACTTTTTCTGAGTTGATTTTGCTATTGATTTGATTGGCATATCTTTGATATTTTGTTCAATATCTTCGTTAATCTCTTCATTTTGTTCCTCCATATCTGCATCACTATCCGACTCATACTCTTCTTCTTCCTCCTCTTCCTCGTCGTCCGATTGATATAATTGCGAGCAATCGTTGTCCAGAGTTTGAATGTCTTCACCCGTGAACTCTAATTCGACCTCAACTTTAGAGAGATCTTGTCTGATATTAGGGCCATCTGTTTGGCCACCGCTGGGAAGAGTGCCATCAGTTTGCACTTCCGTTTCACTAGTCTTTAATTCTTTGGACTTTTCATTAGTGTTTGTGTCGTCAGAAGAGGACTCATTAGTGGGGGGTTTAACAAAAAATGGTAATTTTCCTCTTTGCCAGTCGTTTAACACCATTTTGGCGATAGTATTGGTGTCGGGTTCGCCTCCTTTTAGCAATTTTCCCATTCTTTCGGCCATTTTTATAAGAAAGTCGTCGCAATCCTCCCACTCAGGAATCTTATATGTTTTGGTCAAATATTCTGCTTTCACTCTTTCGAGAACAGTTGGGATGTGGTCTTCCGGCTCTTTCACATTCTCTACGCGAACAATACCTTTGAGCACAATCTCTGTGTCGGTGTCACCGCTCGGGTACACAACACCCGGACAGTCAATCAAATATATTCTTCGCATTAAAGTGATGTATTGCCAGACTTTGGTCTCGCCGGCAATGGGCGCCACTTTACACACCTTTTTAGCTTTCAATGCGTTAATGATCGACGATTTGCCAACATTTGGGTAACCGATAAATCCGACACTAATTTGCTTCTTATCGGTGTGTAGTTTAGAGAATTGTCGCAACAGATTAATCATCGCTCCCTTTCCGAAGGGATTAGTAATGGAGGCCCTGAACGCCATTGTCGGGTACTCTTTGGAGAGAGTGGTGACCCATCTCTGAGTGACCCAAACGGGCACTAAATCGCATTTATTGAGCACTAAAACCAAATGTTTGTGTGGTTTCTCTTTTCGCATATACTGTTCAATATGTGGAGATCGGGTGCCATTGGGGTCGCGGGCGTCCAACACCTGTACCACAACATCACTGGAATCGATCACTTTGTAGAGTTCGTTCCAAATCCTCTTCGAAGTCCCCTTTTTCATGATTATATCTCTCACTTCTGGTCTGTCTTCGCATATGTCGGGCACAATATTACTGTCTTTGGTCTCATCGTAATTGTCGGCCCGTTTGTCGGCCGAAGTGATGAATGCCTGCAAATCATCGAACTTAATGTTCGGTCGCTTTCTGTTGGCTTTTTTGCCAAAAGTCTTGTCAAAGCCTTCGGTGTCGAGGATATGGACTCTCGAATACTTCGCCCTTTCGTTAAGTAAAGTAATCGGAAGTTTTGTTTGTCTCATAACCACGCGATACGGGTCGCGGACAGCTTTGCCCAACTCTTCCTGAAACTTCTGCAAAGCGTTTTGAGTTACGGTTCGGGTGTTTGTGAACCACTTCTGATTGGGTGCTATCCTCGAGACGGCACCGCTCGCCAGAGTTGACTGAAAGGGCGCCGCCTTTACTATCTTTCCCTTTGAATCTCTGATTGGCTTTGAATTCTTGTACATAAGAAGTCGTTTTATGGTTGACTTATCCCTCAAATGAGTGTCCGATGGACTCCTAATGCGGTCGGGATTCAGACTGTGGTTACCCTTTCGAAAACCCTCTCGAGGTTTACTCTTCGCCGCAGCGCTTCCTTTGCGTGTTTTGGCCATTGTTTCGCTCTTTCGGTCACTTCAACACCGATTCAATCAATTTTATCGCAAATCAATTCAAAACAATTTAATTTACAAATTAAAGCACTTTTGAGATACAAAATATGGACACAAAATATACAATAAGTGAACAATAATTACGGCTTAATATAAAGGGGAGGGAAGAGTGAAATGCAATGCTATTGTATGCGACAAATAGTGTACAAAACATAGAAGTTTCGTATAAATACTCGTACTTCACATATGAACGCATAACACGTGTTTCCCATTAGAATATCATTGATTGCAGACTTTTAAATGTTTGCGTTAAAAAACTTATTAAAATCTTACACAAAGTTCTTCAAGAATCTTACGGTATATTCAAGATTTGAATACAATTTATAGATTGATAGGCATTTTGGTTATAGTTAATTGCCTGCACTAATCAAATATTTATTAGCAAAATTTATTTGTTATTACAATTAATTATATGTTTTATAAGTAAGACTTGATTGGGACAGTCGTACGATCAGTAAGTGTTAGGTTTATGAAGAGTCCAGCAACAGGTCTGTCCCACTCCTGTCATTGCGATCACGATATAACCAATGGCTTCGAGTTTGTCTAAAACTACTCGAGGAGTGTCTTCAGTACGCCATTCATCGCTTTGTTTCAATTATCAAATTTATATTTAATTTTAAAATAACGTCAAATTTTGCTCACAATTTATTTCCAATTTGACTCGTTTTGATTGCATTCAAGTATTGCATGAGTTGGGGGTCGCTATCGGTGTCGCCAACTATAGTGGGCCCGCATTCCTGTCAACATTTATCCTAACATTTAATACCAGATATTTTGATAAATTATTACCGGTAGTCAATACAAACCAAACGGATTTGTGTTGAAATCAGCAAATAAGGCATTGAATTGATTCTTGAATACAAAATTTAAAACAAAAATACTTTTAAATTTAGTAATTGTTAAATACACGGAATTTTAAAGGTCTTGTGAATACGTAATAATAAATTACACAAAAGTTTTATTATAAATTCAGTGATATTTAAAACACATTTTATTTAAATGACATGATATATGGATTGTCTAATCAAACACTTGTTCTTATAATTAAACCATACATTTGCAAAAAAAAGTTTCAAACTTTACCACAAATTATTAATTTTAGAAATCAATGACAACTTGCAATAATTGTTGATCACAATTACATTCATTACGTAATCATACAGTATTAGCATAGTTATTAAAACAATACACTTCCAGTTTACTACTTTTATTGCAAATATTTTTTTAACCATGGTCAACTCTATTTCTCTAATAAATACAGTCTTACCTCGAATTTGACATTCGCGATTTTAGCAAAGGATTCTGTTAGCCCGGGCGAGTCATATGAATACTGTAATCTTAATGTGTTCGATTATAACAGATTTCGATTTTAACACTCAATTTTCGGTGCCTCTATAGCATAAACAATGCTTCAATTTTAGCACATTTTAATATTTGTTGTAAAAATTGTTATTTTTGTATCATTTTCTGTGCAAAATAAACCAGAAAATCTAGAAACTTTAGAAACAAAATAAATATACAGCAAATTAAATAAGAAAAATGTCGTTTAAATAGATATAAAACCATTTCCAAGTTTAACAGAATTTGATTTTGACAGATATTTTTCACAGCCCCGGGAACATGTCAAAATGGACATGTAATGTAAAAAATGTGCTGATTTTTGAGTCATTTACTGGAAAACATAAATAAAATCTGGTAAAACTCGGATAGAATATTTTAACCGCTGGTCAAAAGTAGTAAACCATTAACTAATTAACTGTAAGTAATTGTGAGAACATTAGAAATAATTTATTCCAAATAAATTTAGTGTTAAAACAGATTGAATAAAAACTAACTGAAAGTATTTGTGTAATTTGTAAATTGCGATTAATTGTGATTTTATAAAAAATTAATAATAATGTTGTTATGAACTAATTTTAATCTAACGGTTAATAAAAGTAGAAGTTGTAAAACAATTAGCGAAACAAGTTAAGTTGGAATGTATAAAGTGTTTATAGTTTATGATATGATTTACAGAATATAATTGATAGCCAATGGATGTGTTGACTGATTGGCACTAATTTGGTTGTAACTGAAGACAACTGCGAGGACAGAGAGGGTCAGTGTCTGCGGCCAAGAGTTGGGTCACCTCTCGGTGTGTGAAATGTTGAGCTCATAATTGGCGCTCAAAGCAGAGCCCTCTCTGAAGGAGTGAATGAATGGTCGATATTATGAACACAAATACGAGGAAAGAGTGAATCGCCGACTCGTTTCACAACAAATCACTTCATTTGACGTTTTGTTTGCATTTAAATGACATTTAATTTATTATACATTAAAAAAGTGTTCATTTGTTAGAAATTTGTTAAAACTTTGAGTGAATTATAAACAAAATGTTTGGATTTGTATTGAAATGAATGGCCAGAAGAGTGGCCGCTATTGAAGAGCTGTGTTGTTGTTTGGACTCAATTGTGGTGACAATCGATGGATTGAACGATGGAGTCGTCGCTAAGAGATAGGCTGTCATTAGTGGCTGCGATTGGCTGTGGAGTGGCTTTCGGTGTTTCCGGGATTTACACGTATTTCGTGACAAACCGTCAAATGACGGATCAAATCAATAGTTTGACGACAACTGTGGAGGACCTGAAGAAGGAGGTGAAGGAACTGAAGGCCGCATCGATGGCCGCCTCTGAGACACATTCGCCAATCCATTCGCAACTCTTCCACTTCAACGCCGGCGCCAATGAAAGCGATG